ATTTCTAGTTGTTTTGAATAACATATAAATTGCATTAATTTTGGTCCTATTCTCCTGCATTTAAAATCATCTGTATTCTCACTGTAATTGAGAGCGGAAATATATCAAAGTTTATGGGATTTCTTGACAGCCTGTAACATATAACAGAGATCAGACCGTTGGCTTTGTCAACATATGCCATGTAAGGAAAAAAAAGTTGTCATAACTAAATGTAGTTTAAACGATTAATGACAAAAGTACTAAAAGAATGAAAGGAGAGACTGTTTTCAATGGAAATACAGAATTAAAAAAAATACATATACGTACTCGGATAGATTAACACCAATTAACTTAATTAAATGACCCGCTGACCATTTGAAGAGCAAAGTATGAAATAAATGTGGCATTTGTACTTAAACGGTCATCGAGAACAAATACTAAGAAGTTTCAGGTTGTTGATGCTTTTTAATTGTGTTGCTAAGCATACTGCTTTTACTAATAAAGTGACATTCAATAACTTAATATAGTTTATACAATAATTATACCATAAAAATGGAATTGTCTCCAATTCAGCATTTGTGTCATTCAAAAATGATAGAGCATGATTCTTAATAAATAATATGTCTGTAATCTTGCAAATGTATTACAAAAGGAAGAAATATAAACTCTGGAACTCCTCATCTTGTCACACGTACAAATGTGCTTATAATAACTTGTGTAACAACTTTTAGCAAAGCGATATGTATGGAATTGTTGTATGTATCCCACAGAAAGGTCTGACATGTTTTCTAATTTCTGTGTTACCTAAAGCCAAAGAAATCATTAAGGATATTACAAAATGTTACAGGGAAATATAAAAACTTCGAGATGATAAAGCAAGAAACGGCTCGCATTCTTTATATCATATTAAATGTCAAGTAAACTTTAAATGGCCTGTATTTACGTCAGGCAACTTTATAGTACATGTGTATCTGAAATAATGAAGCTAGTTTTATCAATTTTGCTTTATATTCTGTTATATAAAATAATGTTTTATTTTAAGATTTTCAGCTTATTGTGCGTATTCGTATATGTACATATATATTCCGAAAAAGAAATGTGTTTTACTTTAATTTTCCTTTTATCATATATTTGAAATGACTGTCTGAATGCAAACAGTTTATTATACAATTTTCCTAGTGAATAGTTTAGTATATTTAACAACATATGTATCATTTATCAATCATACTGTTAATTGTTTATTAATAATTTAGAATGATTTATTCTATACTCAACTACAATCGAATGATTTATTTATTTTCCAAATATTTGCTTAGATAGATTGTCAACATTAAGAGAATGTACATTACACTTCATAAAGGTCCGCGTCGTTAAAACATGACACGCACGCCGTATCGGTAACAACCCTTATTGAAACAAGAAGATTTATCACTTAAAAACTATATTTGTAAAACGGGAATGATTTATGAGAATTCGTGTATGTAAAGATAATCTCAACCCTGGTATGTCTTCAAATGAGTAATAGTAGAACATTATTTCTAAAATTCTTCTTAGGTATAAGTCACGTATTCGACCAGAGGTAGTAATAATAAGGCAAGCTACTATAACTCTTCCACTTCCCTTATAATGTAAAGAATACTACTGGAGATATTGCTGAAATTACATAATGTATTAGTGGTACCATCATAAGAGTGCAAATTAAGTCGGAACATCAATTTGATATTGATAAAGGCCGACAAAAAAAAGATTGATTCAAATATAAGGCTTTTGATTATCAAATATATATTGCTTAGATAGATCGCTGATTATTATATGATATGCGAATGATTTAGCCATGTTTTTGTTATTTGACACGGAGTAGAAGCCACAATATCTCATACAATTAGTAGTATGCTCTCATTAGAAATAAACTATGTCCCTTTCTTTTGTCAATACACAATATCATTTTGGGGAATTGTTGGTAATGCAATGTTATTACATATAAATATTACAGATTATAAAAGCGATAGTTCAAAACTGTCTAAAATATACAGTTAATTGATTATTTTGACTTCAAAAAGTGTTCATCTTGATATATATACATGGCAAAAATCACCACAACCATCCTTAGATACAACATCACTCTTACACATGAATTATTTACACGCTCCTCCGGCGAAGTGAAAATTTTGCTTGATGATTGATTTCCTACTTTAAGTCTAATGGTTATTTGTCTCACATGGCTGATTTACTGGTTAATTTATCCATGAAACCTGGTTTAGCGGACCGACGTCCGAGATAAAATTAAAATGTATTTAAGTTGGTGTAAGAAATACAAACATAAAGAACAGCTGATTTGTTAAAAATAAAAATATATATTTTATCTTGATATAAACCTGTATAATTCAAAAGCTGTGTATGTATATTCGACTGAAAACTATCTCATTATTGTTACAAAGATTATCATGCTTTTTTGTCGTGCTTTTTTTCATTACATTTTCTGAGTCATGATGAATGATACTTCTTTTGAAACATATCACTGTATGCGTAATGAATGGTTTAAATAGTAACATTGCAAAAACATTATTTTGGATTTTCTTGTTTATAAAATATTGTATCCAAATATTGGGCATGATAATATAGATAGGTAGATAAACTTTATTTACACAAAGACAATATGCCCAACAGTACACAGTAATAATACAACCAGCGTTACATAACATCAATGGCATGATATAGCATGACATACATGAAATAGGTCTGTTAAAAGTCAATATATACAAGTAATGTTTGATACACCGAGAAATAAAATACATCCATGAATTGTAAGAAAAGTAGATCGGTATGAAGAATTTGAAAGATATTTGTACTTTTTGTAGCTTCGCATCTAAAATTTCATGAGAAATACATACCTACAAAAAAGTAGTTCGAAATGATAAAAGTCATTGCAAATTTGCCTAACGTTCGTTAATGCTATCAACTCTCATATTTACACTTTTTCACAATGATTAAGCATATGTTTAGTAACATGGCTTAAAATAATTTTAATAGTTCTTACAATTTGGAATGCAGCGAGGAATTATATAAACCAAGATATGAAACAACCATTTGTTTCTGACAACTACTGTTTACAACTCTATTTACAACTGTGGCAGCGTAATGGTTTACGCTTTTAACTATTTATATAACATTTGCAGGCTGTGTGGATAAAAAAACCTATTTTGAACTTGAAAGCATTGCTTAATACTGACGTTGCCATGAACGGACTTAGAAGAGTTGCTTCCAACACAATCAAACATAATTAACTATTTTGAGAATGATAATGCTACGTACTACGATTTAATATGACGAATTCTTGTAAGGAAGATGTTTTACTACTAATATTGATGTCCCATCATTGATTGTATAAAAGGTTAATATATTTCTAAATTAAATCCATTTATCATCCCCTGGTATTTCGTAATGATTAAAAACCAGATCACCAAACGAACAATTTATTACAAAGATTGATAAATATAATTACATTCAAAATTAAGATAATACAAGTCATCTGAAATATTACTTCTGAGGAGTCAATCGCAATGACATTGCTCCTAACAATGTTGTAAGTCGTGTCAACTGATATTTATGAAACATAGATGTTGCATGTTTACCAAATCGTCACCTTAGTGTAAAAACTCAGTAAGTGCAAATTTTCACAAAATTTACTTTTTGACGTAAAATAAACTATAAAAGTGTTATAAATATCCTTAAAATATTGGAGCCAAACTGTATTAAAAAATATGACTTTTATAGATAAAAGTTACTCTTAAATTTTATGTTAATGCAATAATTGAATAAGTGAATTTATTCCCTTATTGCATCAATATTTCTGTATTCAAAGAAAATTAAGTGCAAGAATGATACAAGTGCACATATTTACTTATTGGACCAAACTATTCTCATCTTCATTGGGGTTATTTAATGGAATAATGTTTGTGACATCACAATTATGACATCACCAGCGCCAAATTATGACATAATCAGAGACGAATTCATGTATTACTAACATTTATACAATTCATGTATACATCATGATATGTAAGGATCAACAGGAACCGTTTTACAGTGATTTTAATACTCGAATTTGCGATAATCTTTTATCTTAGCATTTGTATTTTTGTAAATTTTAGAGAATTTTGAATTCGTAAAATTTATAAGAAGACAACTTTTTAGTAACTATGTTATTTTGGAAACACTGAATTAAACAAACAATTCATATTGTTTAAAGTTAGATATTTCTTCAATTTAGACTAACTAACTTTCTACCTTTTATAAAAAGCTACACAAAATGTTTCAGTGCAATGTTATGAAAATATTGTTATCCAATATAATTTTTGATGCAGTCTGACAGGCAGACAAATATTTTCCTCCATAATGAATGGAAAATAATGTTATTTTTGTCTTTTTTAAATTTATCAGCATTAGTTTTTCTTGGATCATGGCTTGATATTTATTAACGTCTGTTCTGCCAACTTTTAAATGCTACTATATTCTTAAATTTAGATATTTTTATGCATAAATTTAGAAAGTATTTTTACAAGTCTTTTTTCCCAAATTAACAATGATAGGGCCACAGCACAACAAGGACAGTTAACGTTTAGTGCTAACGGCAGGCAGTGTATGACAAAATCAGTGACAGCTATTCTTCAATCACATAAAACACCTGTTAGTGAATGGTCCCCAGATATGCTAGATTATAATGTGGAGCAAAGTGAACACTTATACGAAAAACATGCCAAGATATATCTCATGATGGAAGATATAAAAATCAGTGTAATGATTTTATTACTCTTTGCACTATGGTGAAGTCCTGACTGGTTTAACAATGAGTCTCCAGAAAAACAACGGCCCATCTTCTACTCTAGCCATGACGAAAATTCTATTTGAGAGTAACAAATGCATTTTTACTATGGGTAACATGACACTAAGTTATAGTATAGCAAGAACAAAAATATTCCTTTTGAAATTGTAAGTGTATGTGTCATCCCAGAAACACAGACATGACTGATTCAGATTTTGATGGTTTTTCTGATGTGAGTAATGGGAATCTTGAAGAAGGTATGCTGGATGAATCTAGTATGTCAAGTGTCGGCAGTTTTTCATCTATTGAAGCAATTAAAGCATGTTACACTTATCTCATAAGTTTGAGAATTTTAATGACAGGAATACATTTCATGATTTAATTGACATAGAGATTTATAACAATTTTGAAGACATTGAAAATACACCAGATAGTGTAATTCTGAAATCTCTTAGAAATGACACAACACAGCAAATACTATTATTTAATTAACAGTCTTATGTCACACATCCGTCTGATCCACCTAGCTCTATGACAAGTTCAGATCGGTCTGACGTAACACATCAGAGCTCTATGACCAGTACAGATCAGGCTGACGTGACACATCAGTCTGATCCACCTAGCTCTATGACCAGTACAGATCAGGCTGACGTGACACACCAGTCTGATCCACATAGCTCTATGACCAGTTCAGATCAGTCTAATGTGACACATCAGTCTGATTCACATAGCTCTATGACCAGTACAGGTCAGGCTGACGTGACACATCAGTCTTATCCACCTAGCTCTATGACCAGTACAGATCAGGCTGACGTGACACACCAGTCTGATCCACATAGCTCTATAACCAGTACAGATCAGTCTTATGTGACACATCAGTCTGATCCACCTAGCTATGTGACCAGTACAGATCAGGCTGACGTGACACATCAGTCTGATCCACTTAGCTCTATGACCAGTTCAGATCAGGCTGACGTGACACATCAGTCTGATCCAGCTACTTGTAAATCTAGGTCCCGCCAGTCTGATAAGACACAGCAGTCTGGCCCTGCATATATAGCCTCTCCTATTCCTTGTTCCAGCCTGTCAGCTGTGTCTCAAGGGTCTGGTACGCCCTTGTCTTTACTTGACATTTTCCGAAACGCAGACGTAAAAGGCAAATAAATGAAGATGGGTGGGAAGGAAATATAACCAAGAAAAGAATAAAACTCAAGTGAAACATATGTTACTTCATCAGGTAAAATCAAGCAGGAAAGAATGCTTAAAAATGGCTGCGGCCAAAGTTGTAAAGCGAAGTGTCATAGTAAAATAAATACTGAGGAAAGGGAAGCTATTTTTATGAATTTTTGAGACTGGGGTGAAAACACAAATAATTCATTTGCAGTACTGTTACTGAATCAAAAATAAAGCGTATTACGGAAAGGGACAAAAACCTCAAAAGCATAAACACTTCCAGAAAATTTACATTTTGTAAATGGGGAATAAATCCAAGTATGTCAACAGCTTTATATAGAGATACACTTGACATATCCACATTCACAATTGCATCAGCAATTAAAAAAACTGATACATACATGCAATCAGTCTTGACAGGAGGGGCACTCACAAAACCAGGCCTAATAAAATTCCTGATACTATCATTGATGACATCAAACAACATATTCAACGTTTTCCTCGTATTGAGTCGAAAACCATCGACAAAAGAGTATTTGGAAGGAGCTACAAGGAATCAATGTAAAGGAATATTTTTAACACACATCATAAAATTGCCTTCAATTAGCACCTGAAAGACATGTGTGATTTCTAGTATCAATTTTCAAATATCAGACAACTTGAACAAAACGGGATACAATAAAAGTATCACCAGCATATTCAAAGCGAAAAAGCAGCGATAAATGCTGAAGACACTGCCAAATAGTTTGCTAAAGCTGACCAATCCCTTTTTGCTGGCTGCTTTGACCTACAACAAGTAATGATCCTACCAACAGCATCTCAGTCTTGCCTCTGTTACACAAGAAAACTTAATTTTAATATGTCCCTGTATTCACATGTAACAGGGAATGCACACTATTATGTATGGAATGAAGGAATTGCTGGCAGAGGGTATTGTTTGATTGCCTGTTGTGTTTTAAATTTTATGAAAAGCATTGCTTCAGATATCGTTAAACATTCACACTATTTCCTGACAATTGTTCTAAACAGAATCGTAACCGTTTCATTTTGACCATGCTTTGGTACAGTATGAAGACAATTTAATTTGACAGTGTATCTCATAAGTATCTAGAGCGTTGCCACACACAGAAAAAAACGATTCTGTTCTTTTAGCAATTGAACGGGTTTGTAAACATATAACATTGTATACCACATCACAGTGGTGTGCTTGTATTCAAATTGCAAGACGTTCAAATCCTTGCCATGTAAATGAGACGGCAAGTTCGATTTTTTATGATTTCAAATATCTTAGTAATTAGGTCACTATTCTACTATATGACTTATCTGCCCCTTAAAAGGAGACATTTTGCCATTTTAGTAACTTTATTAGTTTAATATTTCTTTCTGTGCATTTGCAAAAATATAATGCATTGCTCTAATCATGTATTTAATACCCATATGAAATGGAATAATATTAACAATACATGAAGCTTAAAAAAATAATATGGGAGCATTTTCATAGAAAAATTGACATCGCAAAACTAATAACATTGTTGCCTAATTGAATATGTTTTTTTTTCATATTATAAATGATTCTTGAATCTAAACGTAATAACAACTATCAACTTATGCATTTATTATTTTTACAAATAAACAAAACGCATTCAACTTTAGGTGCGTGTTTCTGTATTCTGTCTGAATCATTTATTGAAGAAATAACAAAGCAATTTTAATTGCATATATTGTCTGGAAATTATCATACCAGCATTGAAAAATACAGTTTAATTAAAATTTCAAACCGACAAACATCCCCAAAGATTAATTTATTTCGCTTTTTGAGTTATTTTCTCTGAAATATTGGACGTATTTTTAAAATAATTTGTTCTAAATGACCTTTCATGATTGCAGAAATTTCTTTCCAGACTAATTCATAAACAAATGGGCAAATACTAATTAGCTTTCACTTTGAGAGATTGAATGTGTTAGTAATCATGAGTTATATTGCACTTATTATAATCTCTCATTAATATTCTAATTTTAAACAGAATTCGATTTTCACGTATCAAAGCTGTTGTCAAAGTATTCCTGTTACAAGACTTTTACATTCATCATCTATATTAACGGCTGATAAAAGATATTATACTTAGATCTCCCATTGTACTCTATTAAGGACTAATAAACAGAAGAAATATTTCAATATTTCAAAATTGATTGGTGCTACCACACTGTAATTTGAAGACGAAGCCTAAATGAAAACTAATATTCAGATATTTAACATTAAATGGGTCGTTCTATGTTAATTATTATTACATTTGTGCGGTTATCAAACATTTGTAAGTGCACGAGGCATTTGTGCCTTGTATGAAAGGAGAGAAAAACAGAAGTCCCAAAAGAAAGCCAAACACGGCAAAGTTGAAAATGTTGCAGGTTTGGTTTGATTGAGACTGTTAATGGACGGTACTGGAAAGTGCAAGTTAACGTTCATGCCCTCTAGAACCGACTTAAGCGGAATACAACATTTAATCATAGTAGTGGAACAGTTTTGAATTTAGAAACATCCGCATTATTCATTGCATTATGAGTTTGTGCTAACGAAATAAATTAAAGTTTCTTTTGCACATGTTTTCAATTTTGGACTTCTTTGTTTTTAATAAACATAATGTCCATGTGTGTAATACAAAATAAATATTAGATCCCTTTCATATAAAATAATGATATTTTTGTTTTACAAAATTATAAGTTTTGTAGAAAACTAAACTCAAATTCGAATACATAAATCACCAGAATATTTATGAAGTCTTAGCAACAATACATGGAATGATGTTTAAGCAGCTATCCTGATCCTTTTATGCACGTTGAATTTTACATCACTTGATCAAAAATACTTATCGAAAACAAACACAACAAATTCTACATAAGATATTACTAGTACAATTATAATAAAAATTCTAGATAAATCGTTATATACGAAATTGATAAATTAACAATAAGTTGATACGAAACATATGGCAATTTTCTTGGCTATATCTAGCATAATATAAGTGGTATCCTACTAATAATGTTTCTGTATTTTTTCTAGTACATCAGTCCTTTTAATAAAGATAATTAAACAACAGACTATCTTTAAATCAACTGTAATGTTGTACAGAAAAGCAATAACTCAGATTAAAAGGAAACGATTAAACACGGAGAGTGACCCACATTAAAACTCATAGAAGCTTTTTCATTATTTGTTTTGTAGAAGACTGTTTCACATGATCAGGTTATCTATATCTTATGTTAAGCACGATTTAATAGAAAAGGCTTTATAAGGTCAGTCATTGAGAACAAAGTATTTCAAGATAACTTTCATTCATCGGAAAGATAACAAGAACAAGACAGTTACTCTCGACTATTCGAAAAAGTTGTTACAAGGGTGTTTCATTGAGTATAATAATGCTTACCTAGATGAATACATAAAATTGTCCGAAAAGGTACAAAGGCTGATGTTTTATCGAGTTAATCACTTCTTTAATATTATGAATACATAAACTTGTTCCAAAAAGGCACAAGCCCTTCAGTACTTATGGAGATACCAGCTTACAAGCAAAAACTTTACCTAGAATTTCTTAGCCCAAAAAGGGGCATAATTATGGATAAACAATGAGAATTATGAGACTTGTACCAGTCATGTAAGACAATTCTAGAGAACAAGTGTGTGAAGTTTCAAACAATACCCTTCAGTAGTTATGGAGATACCAGCTTACACGCAAAAACAAAACCAAGAATTTCTAGGTCGAAAAGGGGCATAAATATGCAAAAAGCAAATCAGAGTTATGGGACTTGTGCCAATCATGTTAGATAATCACAGAGAACAAGTGTGTGAAGTTTCATTCCATTCCCTTCAGTAGTTATGGAGATACCAGCCTACACACAAAAACTTAACCTCAGGGACGCCGACATCGACGCCGACGCCTACAAATGGGTGACTGCATTAGCTCGATCATTCTGCCAATAGTCGAGCTTAAAATGGCTTGATGCTATGTAACTTGAAAAATATGTTATCTAGGTAAGACACTTTATAAGTCAAGACAAGCTTATCTGTAGTACTACATATGTTTGTCTAGGTAGAGCTTATTGTCATATTGAATTAATAATTGTATCAATGCCATGTTAAACCTGCTCATTTAGATACGTTTTCTGTTTTAATGATAAATACCAAAAGTGTTTACGTGTTTATTAACAGTACTGCATCATATATATCACCATTAAGGAAGAAAAAGATTGATTTTAAATGTTTTAACTATAATAATACATGACCAATAGTTTAAAAGTTTCATCAATATCGACTTTTTAATGAAAGCAATGCTTAACTCGGTGGTAAGGAGTTAAAAGACTTTTGGTTTCTAATTGAAGGTTATGTGTTTGAATCGTAATGACTCGTTTTTTCTTATACGTTTTTCATTATAGTTTGCAAAACTTGCCTTCTTAGTTTCTGTGCATACAAATCACTCATTGTACGACTGTGTAATTATGAAAATACATTTATGTCTAAAACAGTATCAAAATTATGATTTTTTAATGAAATACACCAAAATTTAAAGAAATGTTTCATCCAATAATACTGCATATAATTTATGATTAATAATTAAAGACATTTGATTTCTTTGTTAACAATTCGAACTTGCAACTTCGCGGTTGCTATGCTATCGTACTTACCACAAGGCATCGGAACTTTAGAATAAAATAAAGTAACGAAAACTTTCCTATCAAATGAAATCAATAAGTAAATCGTAATACATTACGGACACTAACAAAATGCTTCCGAAACTTAATGAACCTCAGGCCAATATTGCCAATCAATAAAACATATTTATATTTTTCATAAGTATAACTCGTCAAATTATATTCTCAAAAATCGTCAACATATTACAAATTTACACCAGATACTGCATAACATGCTCCGTCAGAAAACCAGCTGTTTAAGTTACAAATTTATGTAGGGGAAAAAGACAGAAATTAACGAAAACCTG